AGCCTGGAGGACTGAGTCAGCTCCACACCTAAAAAACTAAACCAAAAAACTGCAACAACATTAAAAAATACCAAAAAAATCACAAAGAAAGAAAAATATAACATCCTGCACCAAGTGATAAACCAGTGAAATATGGATCATTGCATCAGGCCTCTCTCTCTAAATCGTGTTGGCTCTTTCTGTGGTAGTGGACTTCCTGTTCCTGTTACAGCACACAGTGGTGTTTGTGCAGCCATTCCAATGAAAAACATACTGATTACTTCTTATTTCACAGTCTCTGTTGATTCGCTCTGTTTGAGGGATTCATATGTTAGTTTATCTTGTAGCCGACTTGCTAGCAGCGTGGCCTCTTCATCGGTCCCTGCTGCACTTTTGACTATCAGACTCTTCCAATCACAGGATGAGGAGGAGGAATGGCAACAATCCTAAGACCGGTGTTTCCCAATCTATATTTCACTGCAGAGAAATCACACCACCAAACAAACGCACATAAAGCACATTGATCATTTCCCCCTGTACACCAGTGTAGCAGAATGGGCTCAGTTTGTCCCCAGTTTGCCTTTTTTCCTTTCTTCTGACCACTACTCATGCTGGGCCTTCATCTGGATCAGACTGACTTTTTCTTTTCAAATATTCATCTATTGCCATTACGTGCTGCGCTCTCTCACAGCACAACTATTATTTCATTTCTCTTTCGTCTTCTTCTGTTTTACTGGCAGTTTGCAACCCATTTAATTAGAGCAGGTGGTTGTACTACCCTCTAGTGGAAGAGAGATTAAGTTCAGGGGAGGATTTATTGGCTCAATGGCCCGAGAACAGGGATTGGGCTCAAGCGCAGAACCAAAACCGGAGGCTGAATGACTTTTAACAGTTTTATTTTACAGGTGTCTTAAACAGAGGAACAAAAGCCAAATGTAACAGCGAGCGATGACAAGGCTTTGTGAGCCAGAGCACAAGCTGCATCAGGTCACAGGAATAGCAGGAACAGGGCAGTGAAATAGAAGAGATGATAATCAGAGTGGTCCGCGGAGCAGTGAAGGCATCCAAGACTTCAAAGTTGAGAGGTCTTACATGGTTGCAGGTGGAGATTAGCTGGAGGAGGTGAACTATCCAGGTGAGTGCAGCGAGGCAGGTATGAGCTTCACCAGCAGCAGACCAGAATCCTGAGGCGTGATTATGGGGAGAGTTGGAAAGATGTATCCAGGCGCCGACTGGAGAACAGGAGAAGATAGTTAAGCACAACACGCTGAGGAACACAAACGGGAGGCAGTGAACTGACTATGGTAGGCAGACAATCTGGCGAAGGTTCATTGTGAGCGTCATAAATGCTGCTGGAGGAATCGCCAACAGGTGAGGAGCAGGGAGGAGCGAGGAAGGCTCCACCCAGGTGAGGAGAGCTGATGCTGTGAAATTACTCAGACTCACCCGGATCACAACATTTATTCTAAATAAACTATAAATCTTAAACTGGACATTATAAAATGACCTGAAAAATCCAGTTTTTAAATTTTTTTACATGTGTTTAGATTTTAGAAAAATTACTTAAAAGCAACATTTTTACTGTAAAACAATATCCACGTCTGACCAATGCAGCATATCTGCTTTAAAGGGTTTTACAGCTTTTCGATGAAACATTTTGGGTTCAAAGATGAGAAGTGACCCACATCAGGGCTGAGACTGATAGATCGATGAATTTGAAGTAATAACTGAAGTGAGTGATCATGACTGGCTAATTCTCACTGACATCCTTCCAACAGGCGAGCTGAGGATGGTCCTGTATGGACAGAGTGGACAGGGTAAAA